CGGGCTCCGCCATGGCAGACGGAACATCTGAGTCACTGCATTCCTCCGTAGGGCTCTTGGGCATTTCCGCAGGTAGGGATCGAGTCGTCTTGGCATGGGAGGACGGGGTTGGGACTAGCTCTGGTGGACAACCCCCCTCTCAAAGGGGGCTGAAGAGTCTTGTTTGTTCTGAGTCTTCTCCGCCTGGCTAAAGCTTTTGTAGATCCCAGAGATCCCTGTGCCTGTTTCAGCAGCCAACAAAATATTTGGCTTGGCTGTCAAGCGCTGGCCTGAGCTTTTGTACTCGATCCATCCTGGGTGGGAAGCAAATCGAAACTTTTTTGATAGTCGTTTTCATAAATGATCTTTTTTTGGATGCACTTTTTTTTTCCCTTTTCTGCCCGTTTTCCCTGCAGCTGTTTTCGGTGTTCCCTCCCTTTCAGTTGCTCCTTCTTTGCGTTTCACCTTGCCGAGTGCTGTCCCTTTCCACTTTTAGGCTGCTTTTCTGTAGGCACCAGGCTCGTGTGATCATCCGTAGGGTGTGCATGCGTCTGTCTGCCTTCCGTGTCATCATGAGCTGATTTTTACCTTTCTCTGACAACGGGGGGCACTTTCAGACATGATGAAGTTCGAGCTTCTTCAAACCAGGCACCCGGAGAGAGGTGAGACCTGGGACACAAACCGAGTCACAACCCTCAGCTCCTTGGGGCGCGTCGTTCTGCAGATCTTGTACTGTTCTTTTTTTCTCTATTCCCTGCTCTTGCCACTCTGGTTCTCTCCTGGTTTTTTGGACAAAGTTTCCAAGCTCTTTCTTTCTTCCCACCTCCCTTTTCCCACGCAGGGTCGCTCGTACTGGCGGTGCATTTCTACGGTTCAGCCCGAGCAGCCCCCCTGATCCCCAGCACGGCGCTGGGAGCCCTCCTGCTCGCTTCGGCGGCTCTTTTGGCATATGCAGGTAAGACTCGGAGGGCGGCCACCTCCGAGGCCTCCCCCTTGGACAGCTTTGCATGTCTTTGGTCTGCTGCTTCGCCCAGACGTTTGTGCAAACCGTGGCGGCTTTGCCAGACCACTGGTTCATCCTCCTAGAGAATATATGTCAGCACAGGAAATTTTTCCTGTATAGGCAACCAAATAAATCAATGTTAGTTTGAAACAAGTGTTTTACCAGGATCTCTGGGAGTTTTAACAGACTGAATATGTGATTCCTCTAAAAACGGTTCCCGGGTTTTCTGAGAGTGCTTTAGGCATCCATGGACTGAAACGGCACGTCGATGTGTACATGCCAAGAGATCTACTTATCTGAGAGAAAAAATCATTTGTTTCGCAGGAATTCGGAGAAGCCTACGAAATGCCTCCCTGTTCTTGTCTCTCTGCCTGACCGTCTCAGTGTTCTGGTGCGGCTACGGAGTGGTCTTCGTCCTGGGAGGGCAAGGAGTTTTGAGCGACACCGGTGATTTCCGCAGTGCCTTGGTGCCTGGCCTGGTCACCTTCACTTTGGCACTACTCCTTGTTGCAGTGGTGGGCTTCCTCTGCAGAGAGGCCATCCTGGCTATGATTGCTGCTGCCCTCTCACTTGCCAGTGCTCATCAAATTGCCATGCACTATGGCACGGCTTTCGGTTCCTCTGCTGTGGCTTGCAATTATATGGTTGTCTGCCTGGTTGGTGGTTATTTTGCACTGGGGAGGATTCTCTATTTCCTAACCAAGGAGAAAATTGCCCTCCCTGGCACGGATCTGGCCAAGAAAAAGACCCCTGAACAGATCCAGTCCACCAGTGGCAGCGTGAATCATTTCGCAGTCACCGGTCTGATCCTGAACATGCTGTCTGCCAGTGTCTTTGGCTGTAGGCTCCTGGGCATCACTGGCAAGCTATTTATCGGTCACGTGCCCTGGCTGTGGGCAGCTGGGGTCTACCAGCTTGGCATCTGCATTTTATCGTACCGTGCAATGGATGTACTGATGGCTACGTTCTTCGGTTTCACTTCCATCCTGAAATTTGCTGGAGGCTATTGCCTTCTGTACCCGATCTGGCAACCGGAGGAGCCCTCTTTCCCAACTCCATTCCTGGTGGTTTTCTCCATTCTTTTTGCTGTCTTGGCTCTTTTTCTCACTCTGAAGAGCCCAGTGGATGGCCTGTATTTGCTGTTTTATGTGGCCTACTGCATTGCATTAGCTTGCCATCCCAAGGGATTTTTTGAAGGTGGACCCCAAGGCGTGGATGTGGCCATCTTTGTGGCCTCAGCCTTGATGACTCTGATTCACCTGTACAATGTGAAAGCAAGTGCCAAGATCCCAACAGGGAAGGGTGCTGTGAAGGCCCTACTCGCTCGCAGCAGTTTTCTGAAGCTTCGTGAAGGGGCAGACCTTCACGCTCCCTACCTTGGGTATTCCAAGTATGCAGATGCAGAAGTACTTGGCTATGCATGCAGTGTCCTTGCTTCTTTTGCGATAACGATGACAGGGGACCCACAGGCTCCGCTTGCTACTGTTGTAATTCCATGGGTAGTGGTAGCTGGTGGGATCCTTAAGCTCCTGTGTGGCTCGGTGGCCTTTGCCCGGGGTAAAACCCTGGAGAGTAGTGCCTTCATTCTCTATGCTGTTATGTGGATCATCTGGGGCTTGACAAGATATGGTGGCCTCTATGGCACTACCAGAAGCTTCCACGCAGCTGTAGGCATCATTGCTTTCATGCTCTTCAATGGCTTCATTGTCTTCTGCACACTCTTCTTAAACATCGCCTGGTTCTTTTACTCCCTCGCTTTCTTCCTCATCACTGTCAGCTTCTTGCTGGATGCTCAGCTGGCTATGACATTGCTGCCACTCTCATCTTTGGTCTGGTCAGCTTTTACTGCTTCCTTTCTGCCCTTTTCAACAGCGTCTTTGAGGGTTCCTGCTTACCAATGGGTAGGCCCATTGTGCAGCTTAGTGGTGTGGGGGGAGGAAAGACCAAGTGCCTTCACCTGCCTGCCAGGAAAGCTTCCTCGGTCAAGAGAATTGCAGGTAAGGGGAATACATGGGGCATAACGTAGGGGTGTAGGGTAAATTCTGGGAGGTTTTGTAGCAGAACGCTATTGAAAGGACATTGTTCCGATCCAGATGTGGAAACCGTGGTAATCTGATGGTATTTTGACCAAGTGGGCCAAGTTACAAGAGTCATTAGAAACTAAATACGCTATGGGGGAAATAGGAGCAATTCCTTGATAGGAGCTGGGTTTGGCAGTGAATTTGCTGCTGTCTCTCCTGTTCCATATCGCTGTGTTCTCATCCCATCTGAGCTACATGAATCCTCCAGGCTGGGGCTACCACTGAAAGCTTTGTACAGAGATAGCAGGGCAAACGCAAGGTGCTTGCTGTCTCCACAGGGCTGAATGACTTCTGGCCCTGATGAACGTGGCCCAGAACTCCCCTAAATGCCACATCTCCTCTTGGATGAATGCTAGAAAATGCACTGTCAGAGGAAATGCTTTGTTAGTTGGGACGAGGCGATGAGAGCACCCAATTGGCTGTTCTGTCTGCGAAAGCTCTTCCGTGAATTACAGCCCCTCGCTTCTAGTCACTCAAGGGGTTCTGCCCTGTTCACATGCCAACAGATATCCTGAAGAACGGAGGGACTTGTGGCATCCCCACAGATACCGTCTACGTGCTTGTGGCAGCCTGTAATCGGCCTGATGCTGTGGAGAAAGCTCACCAGTGAGTATTGGTCTTGCTGGCTCAGCAAGGGCTTCCTTGGCTAGTCTAAAGAAGCCTCCAGGACTTACAGCTGCTACTGAGTACTGGCTGCAGCAGCCATCGAGGTCAATGAGCCACATAGCTTTGTCTTCATGGGGACGACAAGGTGATGAGCCGGGGGGAGAAGATCTGAATGAGGAAAGGAGACAGTTGAGCTGTAATTGTCTTCTAGGATATTGAAGGGTCCTGGCAGGTGATGGAGCCAGGTAGCTTGGATATCACAAGGAAACCCAAAAAAGTGGCAAATGGGGCAGGGGATTATTGCACATATTTGTAGGTACATCTTGTCACAACCAAACCCCCTCTCGTGTTTAACAAATGCCTCTAGCTGTACTTTTGTAAGCAGCTGGGACCCCTCATATTGGTGGTGTTTCCTCAGAACTTGGGCAGTTGGGACTTCTACCCAGCACTGCACAAGAAGCTAAAACCTCGATTTGGAGTAGATGTTCGTGATTGATTGGGAGTAGTCATCAGTGTACCCCTCCTGTCATGTCATTTGTTGAACAGTCCTACTTTTACTACAAACTGGTGACCTGGGGCAGAGCCTACACACCTTGTCTTAACTCTAGGCCTCACCAACACAATTTCCTTTTAAGCTTGAAAGTAAATCCCCATCTTACTTCCAGGCTCATTTTCCTTGCCTCCCTTCCAGCTCCAAGCGCCAGGCTCAGGATCGCCCCATGTCACTCTGGATTTCTAGCCTAAAGCAACTGGAACCTGCAAAGCATTTGCTGACTCCCATCCTCTGGGACTTCATGGAGGCTGCCTGGCCATCTCCTATCAGCTTGGTGGTTCCCAGAGGTGAGGAAATGCTGTTACTTCCAAGCTCTCTGGAGAGCTTTGGCTTTGAAACTCCAACTTTAAGTCATGTGTCCCCACAGAGCCACTTGTGTACGGACTGACGTACATCCAGAAGTGATGTGTGACTCTTCCTTGTGCAGGTGAATGGGTGGACTTCCTGGGAATGAAGGACTCTGCTAAATACGTCGGAACCCCTCAGAGCGTTGCCATCCGCATCCCCGACTGCTCTGTCACCACCCACCTCATCGACTTGGTGAGTGGCCAGAGCACACTCATCCCAGCAGCACCAGTGACCAGACCTCACCATTCCACTGTCCAGGGAGTGGGCTTGGTGCCGGCCGCTGGCACCCGGGTCCTCTGTCCTGCTGGAGGGGAGGATAGTGAGAGGCTGGAGCACTCTGCCAGCCCTCTTGGCATGTCACCTCTCCTCTCTTTTTTCTTTCCTCAATGAAGTGAGGATCCCAGCATGTTCAGTCAGGTTTGGGGAGAGAAAAGTGCTTAAAAGAGTAACTCCCGCAGGAAAAATATCGTTAAGAAGGGGTGGGGTCTGCAGGCAACTGGTAGCTGATTTTACTGCAGAAAAGAAGGTGAAAGGAATAACCACCAGGTCAGAAAGCCAGAGAAGATGTGATTAACAGACACAGTGCCTGACTGCCTACACAGAACACTTTTGTCACACTCACAGGCTTGTTTGATCCCAGAGTAACTTTGGAAGGTCCAGAATGTGGCCAGAGGAACTGCGATACCGTGCGTGTTCTGCTCCTTTCTAGGACAGACGTTGTAGGTCTTTGGCAATGGCTGTTGCTGGAAAACAAAGTGTTCTTCCTTGGTCAGCATCATTTTAGCAGGGTGTGAGTCACTCGTACACGGATTTGGTGGGACTTCAGTGCCTACAGAGTTGGTGTCTCTACCTGAGTGAGTCACTGGGTTCTCTTTAGAGCCACAGAGACTCACGGGTGAACTTCAGAGTTCATACAACAAAACCTGTTCGGAGCTTTTATTCCCATTTTTCTGTCACCAGGTGGGCCCCATTGTGGTCACATCAGCCAACCCAACAGGAGAGGCAGACACAACACACCACAACCAAGTATATGCCAAGCTGGGAGACAAGGTAACCGGGGCTCTGTGTCTTTTCGTTCCAGCTGGTCCCAAAAGATGTGGGGATGGATAAACACAACCACTTTGTTTCCATTAGGCAAATCAATAGATGATGTCAAGAATATGGGAGAGCAGCTCATGAAAAAAATCTCATAGACGTTTGTCGTGTTGGTGTCGTAGCAAAAGAACAGTGTGAAATACAGAACTTGGTGGGAAACCAAAATCCTTCTGTTTTAAACAGTATAGTTGTGGCTTGGCAACGCGAGTTAGTTTGTCTTCCAGCACAGAGTGACATGAGCAACAAAATAATGCTGCTTTGCTTACAGGCAATAAAACCACTGCTGCCTGAGCGTGCCAGGGCTCCAGCTGGCGTTGAGCTGTCAGAACACAGGGGATTCCCATCTAAAGCTAAAGCTGGTCCGTAACTGGTGCCAAAGCTTTAAAATATTCCTGGCTTTTAGAACTTTCGTGGGTTCTGGAATTCCAATGGTCATGGCCATTCACATGGCTGTCTTTCATTTCACTGCTGACCCCTGAGAGCGCTACACTTTGTATGCCCCATCCCTGGAAGTGCTCAAGGCCAGGTTGGATGAGGCTTTGGGCAACTTGATCTAGTGGAAGGTGTCCCTGCCCATGACAGGGGGGGTTGGAACTGGATGATCTTGAAGGTCCCTTCCAACCCAAACCATTCTGTGATTCTGTATTTATGGCAGCTGATGTGAGGGCAGTTTTAAACAAAAGGTGTTACAGAGCTTCCACCTCTCACTCCTCAAAAATCTGGTTTTCTACACATTCACTTCATGGATGGGACTTCTTCAAAGCTCCTCAGCTTGTGTAAGCCTGTCTTTGCTGTGCTGCTGACCTACACCCCATGGAGCTCTCTTTATTGAGTTCATCCATTCCAAATTCAGCCCTTAGTGTCAATACAGTGGGGCAGGAAGGAACAGAGTTGCCCTTGGTGATAATTACCTGCTGTTGAGAGGAGGAAACTGCCCTCTCTTTTCCTGGGTGCCTGGGCAGAACTTGATGTGAACATCTGCTGCTCTTCAGGTGGATGCAGTTCTTTGCGATGGACCTTCTCCAGAGAACATTGCCTCCACCGTCGTGGACTGCACCAAAATTGACAGTGGAAACATAGGATTCTTCAGAGTCGGTATCATCCCCAAGTCTCAGGTAAAATTAATCTTGATTTTATTTCGGCTCCCTTTCCCCGTTTCCATTAAGTGGGTTTCAGACTAGGGGTTTCCTAGTTCCAGAGGAGGTGAAGAGCTCTGTGGCAGCGTGAGGAGTTGTTGTGGGGTGGTGTGAAAGAGCAGAAAAAGCAAGCTCCGTGTTGCCTGTGCCCTGGTGCTGCCTCTGGGCCACCGTCACGCCTCTCTCGGCAAAGCTCTGGGCAACCTGCGAGGGGAGACGGATGCAGTCGTGGAAGGAGCTCTCAGATCTGAGGTCATGGACCTCCCTGGGGCAGTCTCTCCATTCACACCTGCCCCAGAGACCTCTGAGCAGAAATGCTTAGTGTAATCCCAAGGCTGAGCCCAGACAAGTAGCTCAAAAGAGAAGAGGGCATGATTTCCATAGCTGGAGAAGGAATTAATGCTTCCCCCTAATTACTGACTGACTCACTGCCGTGCTTACCAATTCCAGGTGCTGCAGATACTGGAGCAGGTGCAGAAGAAACACACGTCAGTTCCGAACAGTGGCACCTGTGCCATGACAGACCGGGAAGAACATCTGAATCGTGGCCGCGCTGCGCACAACGGGGTGGGCACGGCTGCCTCGGAAGAGACGGCGCCGGTGCCGTCCCCGGATGACGGCGGCGAGAATCACACTCGCCTCTGACTCCCGTGCAGGTCAAGCAGTCACGTGCTCACCTGGAAGGTGTTTGCTGGAAAATGACATATTGGTCCAGTGGGGGAATGGGAGAGGTTTCCCAGCTGCAGGGATGACTTATTCATTTTTCTGTGGATACTGCTAAAATATCGCGGTGCAGAGCTGACTCTTACGCACCGCCGTCACCCAGAAGTCACATTTTCACTTACAGAGACTGTTGGCTTTCACTGGAGATCAGCCATGACCAGAGAAAGTGTTTTACTGGTGACAGAGTGGCTTTATTCCTTTCACTGGGAGTTCATACCTTCGGTTTGGGGCACAGGGTAACGTGGAGTTTTTCATAATTACGTGTAGGGGGAAAAACACTGCCTGAAACTTGGAGTGGGAGAGGGAGAAGGGAGGATGTGATCAGGTGCTGCGCTGGTGAATACAGGGGACTTTGTAAAATAGGTGAGGCAAAGCATGGCCTCGGGAGCTGGGGCCATCTTCTGAGATGTCTTCTCAAAATGAAGGCCACAGAACCCAACACTGAAAAGGAAATGCCATTATCTGAGATGCCATTTTCTGTATTTCACAGTCACTGTGAGGGTGGAATTACCGTTTTGATGACTCCAAAAATATCTCCTTAGAAGTGCTGGTGCATTACAGACGACCTTCCTTCCCCTGTTGTCTTCTGCAGAGTATGAATTTCAGGAGAACCACCTGCACTGCATTTGAGGGTGCTCGAAGCTGGTCTCTTACCTTACAGCATAACTGGACACATCTCATGGTACATTTCCCCAGATTTAGTGCAGAGCGGTCGCTGCCCACCAGGTGCAGGTGAAAAGAAGTTTCAAACCAACATGAAGACATTTCCTTGGCAATGACTGCACAGCTGTGCAGTTAGTGGCTTGTTTGGCCTCTGAAAAGATCTTATTACGTGATTCAGGTGCAAGGTGCTGATCAAACTCCAGCTGAAACCAATGAGTAGAGTCATTGATTTCACCTGGAGTTCTGCTGGAACTTGAGCATAAATGCTGTGCAGTCAGAGGTGCTCAACCTCTATGGACTATGACAAAAACAGGTCTTCTCAGCTTGTTCTTACAGAGCTGGCTCTCTTCCTGCAGAGAAAATTCCAGGCAATTGAGTTTGTTAAATAATTTTGCTGGTTTTTCTTACTGTATCTCTTTGGAGTTTATTAAAACTGGTTTTTAGAAAGCAATATAATATTTTCAATAAAGTCACGTGTCACACGGGACTGCGCTGTCGTCTGCGGTGAGTACCTGGGCAAAACCGTGCGGGTCGAAGGGTTGTGGGTTTGAGCGTGTCGGGGTTCCTGCCTGGGCGTGAGGGATCTTGGGAGCAAATTGAATTGTGCCACTTTCCAGGGTGAGGAAGAGGAGGGAAGGAGAGGATGACTCTTAACATGACACCCTGGTGCCAGCTCCCTGGCTGGGGAGTGCTAATGAGCTCATCAACACCAGGGCTGAATTTCACCCCTTCCCTTAAATCCATAAAAAAATCAAGCCATAAACACTGAAATCTGAGGGAATGGGGGAAGAAGCACTAATCCAGAGAGGTGCTGAAGCATCACAAAGCCTTCTGCTGTGGGAAAACAGCCCTGGCTTAAATGTTCTGGAGATGCTGCTGCCTCGTGCTGCAGACAACGATACGTTTTAGTGTGCCCCAAGTTAAAAAAAGGGGTTGAAAAAGATGAATTCTTCACAAGATGCCTCCCCTGGGTTCGTTCCTCTCTCTGTGGTGCTTGTTTCTTACAGAAAGTTTTGATGGAACTTTCTGGGAACGTGTGGAGGACCAGTTTCTCGCTTTGCTGAGCGAGGTGCGAGATGAGGAGATGTTTCATTTAAGTTCAGACCTGATCTGACCCCACCTGCAGCTCTCCTGCCTACAAGTAAAGTGGAAATAAATAGTTTAGGGAGCAGGAGATTTAAATGGGATGTTTCAGTTTAATCAGGGCAAAAATATTTCTAATATTTCCAGTTTTCCCAGCATTCAAGGTGAAGAAGAACACTTCAAGAGAAGTGGAGAGAGAGGAAAAGCCACTGTTTCAAGTGGCAAATCCAAACCACTTCAGAATGAAACTGTTGAGACAAACATTTGAAGTTTTTTCAGCGTATTTTCTGAAAAATCACAGTTTAAATGAATTCTGAGGTATTGACAAGAATTGATCAAATATTTTCATCACTTTCAAAACGTCACTTTTGGTCAAAAATGGTTGCCCAGCCCTCCTCATTGAACCCTCCTGGTGCTGTTCTCCTGTCCTGCTCAACGGGAAGGAATTGCTCCGCTGCGGAGTACCGGAGGAGAGGGACAGAAGGGGACTTGGGGTCCTCAGACCTCCACCACAGGAGGAGTTTGAAGTGACTGAGGAAAACCAGAGACTCCCAAGGCCAATTTTGGTGGCATTGTCAATGTCTCAGGGGCCTTTAGGCCCAAAATGTCACCTTGGGAGACAAAATAATCCCCATGAATGGGCCTCTTTGTGAAACAGGCAACACTTTAGTCCCACTGGGGTTGGAGACAACCCAGGAAGAAGGGCTGTCCCACCTTGATTTTGCCCTTTGTGGAGCCCAGACATCCGTGTCAATGGAAAGAAAGGGGGGGGGGGAAAGGAAAAGAATGGAAAATAAAGGAGTGTGTTTTCCAGTCGCAGGAAAAAACCAGCTCACCCTTCTGAGAATAGAGCTGTGCCATAGGAACAGGAACTGACTCAACGACGTGTTGGAGGATGCGTGTTGGTCTAGTGGGTGGACGTGATGCCAGGGTGGGCAGAGTGGTTCCGAGAGGAAGGGCGGCATCGCAACCGCCTCTCGAGTGTGACCGGCCAAGCAGAAACCTTGGGACACGGGCAGAGTCATGAGTGTCCCTTGACCATCTCCAACTTAAACACCAGGAACTGGGAGCTCCGTGGGGACGGAGCCCTCTCCTCTTTGCTCCTGAAAGATGAAAGTCAACGTCTGGCTGTTGCTTGGGATGGGACGGGAGGTGGAGGAAAAGGCAGCAGCAAAGTCCTGCTTGGTTGGGTGATAATCAGTCAAAGCAAAACCCTTTGATCTTGGCACCGCTGAGGGCACAGCACCCAAAAAACCCCGCAGTGACTTTATGGGTACTCACCTTGCTGCATTCTTCCCGGTGCTGCTCCCTGAAACACCGAGGGCCACCGTTATCGCTGCAAAGTGACCGGATAATCTGGTTTGTCGCTTTTTGGGGAGATACCAAGAACAACAAAGAAACAGCACATTTCACAATGCTGGGCAGGATCTGCAGCTGCTCCACAAAGCACAGCTTGGATTTACATACCAGGGGGCTGAGTGGCGGTGCCCACCCTAGAGCCGGACAACCTTTGATGTTCTAGAGCCATCTGGGAGTCCCCCGCGCTCGTGCCAGCTGTAATACCGAATTTACGGAGCAGCTCCGAGCCAAGGACCAGAACAAGTCAAAGCAGCAGCCGGGCCCTTGGCCAAAGCAGAAGACAACTCTGTTGAAGCTCTGCTGCTGCACGTCCCCCTCGTTGCAAGTCCTGGCGCACCTGGAGCTGTCTGGTGTGGAAGAGCAGTGCAGGATCTACGTACCCAGCGAATAAAATCGATTGTGTGAAAAATCGGGGGGGGAAAAGCAGCAGTCTGGAAATGGAGCTTCTTGAGTCATAACAAGAATTAATGGGATTAACTTCCAGTTGTGACTCCGTCATATTCTTCCTTTCTGCTCCAACTAGAAAAGCATCTGGTGGCTCCAAGACTTTCATCTCCTCTTTATGCACGGCACTGTCACAGCTGGGGCTGAGGAAGGGAGCGCCCTGCAGCAGCTGGATCTCTGGGCAGGGAGCGGTGGGTTTCTCAGGTTGCTGTACTCTCCTGCTCCATGTTCTGAGGGCTGGAGCACCTCTGCTGTGGAGACAGGCTGAGAGAGCTGGGGCTGTTCAGCCTGGAGAAGAGAAGGCTCCAGGGAGACCTTCCAGCACCTCCTAGTGCCTAAAGGGGCTACAGGAAAGCTGGAGAGGGGCTTTGGACAAGTGCATGGAGTGATAAGACAAGGGGCAATGGATTTAAACTGGAAGAGGGGAGATTTCGATGGGATCTAAGGCAGAAATTCTTCCCTCTGAGGGTGGTGAGGCACTGGCACAGGTTGCCCAGAGAAGCTGTGGCTGCCCCATCCCTGGCAGTGTTCAAGGCCAGGTTGGATGAGGCTTTGGGCAACCTGGTGTAGTGGAGGGTGTCCCTGCCCATGGCAGGGGGGTTGGAACTGGATGATCTTTGAGGTCCCTTCCAACCCAAACCATTCTATGATTTTATGACAGGCAGAAAGTGCTGCAGAGCAGTTGGTGCAAGGGGGCATGTCGGGGGCTGGATGGGGAGGTCTGTCCTGCACATCCAGTTCAGCACTGCCTCTGGCCATGGGTCAGCAGCTGCAATAAATACCTCAACTGAAAAGCCCATGTTCAAAGGCTCAAAAGTGTTAGTTCTTGTGAGAACCACCTTTTCCTTGAAAACACAAAGAGAAGATCTTACTTGTGTTACTATCTCTTTCTAGATACGAAAAAAGCAGGAATTTCAACAAATTCTTCTGCTCTGGCCATGAGACATGTCAGAGTTCAGACAGTTATCCTGAGGTGTATCTGTCTCTGCAGGTGTGGGACAGGTGCTGCGGTCCCTTCCGGACCAGCCGTGCCCAGGCGCCTTTGAGGAACCTCACGTTCTCCACGTTCTGCTGCAGAAGCAGAAAACACTTGGACCATCCCACCAGGCAGCCTGGCTGGGCTCTGCACAGCTCTCGGAGGAGCAGGGGCTGCAGGAGCACATCCTGAATTTGGAGACATTCTCTACCTGAGCACCTCCTTTCTCAGACCCTATATTTCATGTTATCCACCCAGCAGGAAGCGACGTGGACCTTTCACAATGAGATGTTTGTTGTCGAGTTTCGGTCAGTAGCCAGCTCTCAATTCCTGCTCTGACATAACACCAATTACAGTGGGTACTACAACAGCCTTCCTCCTTGGACCTGGCTGCTGG